TGCAGTACAAGTCATAAAGCCCGCCTCCTCCATGTTAATGAAGGAGACTTGAGCCCAAATAAAAAAAATTATTACACTTGCAATAAAATGTCCCAAAAGATGGTTCTGGTGGATTAGGGCACTGATTATTGTGCTGAAATAGGTGCAGATCTTCATTTTTGTAAACAGTTTGTTTTTAGCAGTAATTTAATGCTGGGCGTGTCATCGTGATTGACAGTTGTGATTGACAGTTTCTCAAAGCAGCGCGTCTGAGTCTCGGCAGAAGACTGAAATGTTATTATTCGATTTCTGTGTTATTTTACCATGACAAAATGAGTTCAGCAGTAAACTACAGTTTCTGACATACATGATCCTGGTGGAACACTGTTTATTCGCTAAGGTCAGGGCTTTTTTCGGGCTTTATTAGTTTGCTGATACACGCCTAGCCACCCAGATAGCAAAACACACTCGGGCCAGTTCCAGCTAGATTCTCGCCTGCCGGAGACTTACCCCTCAGAGCTCAGACTGACTACCTCTGCTGGACCAACTCCGGATGCCTGGACTCACTGCCCGATTCCAGCCCGAGTCAATCGAGCCAGATGCGGCGGCCGAGCGAGCCGGCGCTGCCGCATGCGAGTCGGAATCAGCCCGCGACGCCGCGAGTAGGTTATGCGCTGTGGCCCGGAGCTGGCGCGATTGAATATATAAAACCCTCATATTTGTTAACGTTATTACATCCATTTGTGTTGATATGACAGCAAACGCATGCTGAGAAGTTCGGGGGACGTGGTTGATTGTACATAAAGCCTTTGGTTGGAAGTTCGACTCCGCTCATTTTCGCGGCTCCTCCTCTGGCTCCATCAGACAGTTCTTCTGCGCATGTCTGGCTCCAATTTCAGCAGTCTTTTGCAACAGTTTGTGCCCGTCAAGCAGGCGTTTTGCCCTCAAGGCGTTCAATGGGAAAAGGGGCTGTCGCGTCGTCCATATTTTTTACAGTCATTGGATCACACACACACACAATGGGTTTCCATGCTTTATGGGCACTGTCCATAGATTTCTGTACTGTATTTACTGTATATTCTGTCCTATTTGCCCAACACTATGCCTAAACCCAATACTCATAGAAAAAAATCTGTAATTTAACATTTACAAATTACCTCATTCTCTGTGTATTATGAGTGGAAAAATCTCCTCATCTGCCCACACACACTCAAATGGATAGGGTTGGATTTTTATGTTTTATGGGGACCCTTCATAGACGTAAGAATTTTTATACTGTACATACCGTATATTCTGTCCTCTTCACCCAACAGTTTGCCTAAACCCAACCCTGACAGAATAAAATGGTAGTTTTACATTTACAAAATATTTCATTTATTGTGATTTATGTGCCGTTTTTCTCATCGGGACCAGAAATTGTCTCTACAAGGTCAAAAACGACTGCTATTACTATATATGTGGGGACATTTGGTCCTCACAACATCACGAATACCAGAAACACACACACACCTGCACGCTCATGCAGAACAAGCTCTGGCATATTTTCTGATTTTCAGAAGAGACACACTCTGTATGCATTAAAAATGATATAAAGGACAAAGCACTGTCAACATCACTACACAAACCATAGATCATGCTTATAAAGCTTTTGCAACACTGACTGCCCTACTTTTCCAAAAGAATGATGATTGAAATTCATATAAGAACTGCTTTAGTTATTGACAAATACACAGCTGAGTGGGACAGAGATAATCATGCAATACGTCAAACATATTTCAGACGCTGGAAATGTATAATCTGCACTCATCACATAATGAGAATAGACTTAATCTCCGGTCTAAACACAGAGATCATCTGTAAATGGATATTTGAAATAGCATTTCCTGCGCTCTGACATGCCAAGTTTTTAGTTTAAAATAACATTTTGCCAAATTTATATGTAATTACTTACGCTTTTATGAGCTCACGGAGAGATTACATTAGATATAAGTATTTAAAATGTGCATCTTTTCACACCCTGGGTCCATTTAAAATGGATTAATAAAGGGTTTGAAGGTATGGAAAATAATACTTTATGAAAATAATTCAGCAGCGGTGCTTTCCTCTGTTATAATCATTTCACCTCACATATGAATGAGTTTGCTGTTTGTTATGATTGGGATTGAATGATGCATAGTCTGTCTTAAATGTGACAAGCGTTTTTACTGAATCAAAAACATGCAGCACTTCCATTGTTGACTGAATCTTTACAGAATGACTCTTATGAATCAGTTCTTTAGAATCAAAGGCACACATTTCTGATTATAAGTCTGATTGTAAATCGAGGGAATATGAGCAAATTCTTTTTTCAAAGTTTGCAAGAATGTAAAGCTCGGTCTAGTCATGCCAACGAGTTCTGTTGTTCAGAGGTAAATCGTGTTCGCTTGTGTTTAAGGAGAGCTGTGGAGCTCAATGCTGGGATCAAAGAAACGAACAGCTTGAGCTGATTATGAGAGATCAATCCTGAGTTTATGAAGACTTAATCCAAATGGGAAGATGGAGTTTAAAAACCGTGCAGACGTTAAATCTGTTTGAGACGCTTAAAAGGCCGAGTGTATTAGTTTACATGTGCCATTGTGATCCTAATGCTGTGATCAGTTACTGCTTTATATATATATATATATTAAATACAGTTGAAGTCAGAACCATTAGTCCCCCTTGTTTATTTTTCCCCCCAATTTCTGTTTAACCTAAAGATTTTTCAACACATTTCTAAACACAATAGTTTTAATAACTCATTTCTAATAACTGATTTATTTTATCGTCGCCATGATGACAGTAAATAATATTTGACTAGATATTTTTCAAGATACTTCTATACAGCTTAAAGAAACATTTAAAGGCTTAACTAGGTTAATTAGGTTAACTAGGCAGGTTAGGGTAATAAGGCAAGTTATTGTATAACGATGATTTGTTCTGTAGACCATCGGAAAAAAAATAGCGTAAAGAGGCTAATAATTTTGTCCTTAAAATGGCTTTTAAAAAAATTCAAAAATGCTTTTATTGTAGCCGAAATATAACAAATCAGACTTTCTCCTGAAGAAAAAAATATTATCAGACATACTGTGAAAATTTCCTTGCTCTGTTAAACATCATTTGGGAAAAATTTAAAAGAGAAAAAAATAATTTAATAATAATATTAATTAATTTTTAATTAATATTAAAAGAGAAAAAAATTCAAAGGGGGGCTAATAATTCTGACTTCAACTGTATTGCTTACTATATATATATATATATATATATATATATATATATATATATATATATATATATATATATATATATATATATATATATATATATATATATATACATACATACTGGAAACAGTACTTTCCACCCTCATTAAAATACAGATGGTTGTTGCAGTTACATTACTGTAAGTCATTTATAAAACACCTTTGTTCAAAGCGACTTACAATTGAGAAGGCATTTAGCGATTCAACAAGAAGATTGCCTCTTTCTGCTCTATTATGATGATGTAAATCGAGTCTAAAGCGCATGGTGCAAAGCATTAAGGACATGTTCAAATCCACTTTTGTTATTTTAAGAATGAAAAAATATGATTTGCGCCCGGCACATGGTCTAACAGGGTTGTGCTTATTCTCTTAATGAGTTCTGGGTGTGTTTTGTGCATAGTGTTCATTAAACCTATCAGAGTCTCATCTCATATTGCCTTTAAGAGTCGTGCCAGGGCGCTTTTGCTATTTACATGGTGACATTGTAAGTGAAAAAACTGAACGCTTCTCTAGCGAGAAAACAGCTAAACAAGCCTGCAGCTAGAATAAACAGCAAGCTTTCTCCGTTCGGCCTCTTTCTCTTTACTTTATTTTTACTCTTTACTCCTTTACTTTTGTAGATAAGGAAACAGTGGAAACTCACTCCACTGAAGACATCTATTAGCCTACATATTTAATTTAGTTTGTTAAGCCCAAAGTTTTGTTCAAAAACTATTTCCAAATTCAGTTCTATTTTCCAGCAAACGAGTAAATGAACAGTAATAATGAAGTGTGGTCAAACAACTGAGAACGTCCTGTTCTTTTGCTCCATATAGTGATGAATACGTCTCCAAAACCCGACAGGTCAACAAATCTAAACTTGTTTTTATTCAAATAAATATGCATAATAAATACTGTTAATACTAATATTATTCTAATGTGCCCTGACAACCTGACATTGCAATATTTAGTTTTTCTGTAATATATATTTAGATATTAATATAGTTTCACTAGATGATTTAAGCAGCTCTTTTTGAAAAGATTTCATTGATTTAGACAGATTGGAATGATCAAGTCAAGCATAAATTCTAAACTACAAGCATACACTGTTAAGGAGGTTTGTAAATTACAAACTATTTAACTGTAATAAGAACTGCGTTATGCGGTATGTTACTGTATTGTAAAGTTGCACTGTGAAAATTACTGTATATTTTACAGTAAACATGCAATACTGCACATATACAGCAATATAAATGGCTCTGCAAATGTAAATAAAGTTCTTTTGCTGAAATTATTTTACTGTAAGTTACTGTATTTTCTACAGGAAACTGTTAACAGTGTAAATAAATACAACAGATCAAAGATAGAAGTAAAACAAACAAACAGCCGTTAATGGTTTTCTGGGGAGTCTTAACAGTATTCAGGCATAAATATCAAACATAAAATAAGATGGTCATCATTATAAAATTACTTAAAAATTATAATCCTAATGTTTTATTATTTAATAAATGGTCTATTCTTGCAATGTGACTATTGCGGTTACACTCATTGCGATATCGATGCTCAAACGATATGTCATTTAGCCATAATACAATAATGGTAATC